TCTTTCCCCCTTCCCCGACTGCTAGCTGGAACCCACTGCTGACTTTCACAGGTAGGAAGGCACATTTTATGCCGTCTCAGACTTGTGACTTGAACCATCAGTGGCTGACACCAATACTTGCTGACATCGACTCACTTTGCCCTTGGCACATCAGATACTTGCAGGGGGGAAGTGGTTCTGTTTTCTTTTTAAGATGCACAGCTAAATCGATTTGAATGAATTAACTAGCAGTGAAGCTTGCTGCAAGCTCCCTGGCTCCTTTCTGGGACTTTAGGTTTTACAGGAATAGGAATGAAAGGGTGAAGTTGATACCTTCTTGTAGTCTGGAAGGACCGACAACCCCCCTAAATGCCAAGGTGGTTAGGTGGAGAAAGACACTGGGACATAGGCTCTGAGCAACCCAAGGATTATTCTGTATTTATCTGGCTAATCTGGCTAAGGTGTGAACCAATTAGATTTCTTTTTTACAAAGCTACCTGATGGCCTAGATTATGTAGGGAGTCCAAAGCCAAGGGCCAGTCCAGATGTTTGAGCTGCCTGGTATTTCCCTTCTAAAGGGGTACCAGTTTTGTTTCTCCACGGGGATTCCGAAGGTGGTGTCCGCATAGTGTGGACAGGCGAAGCCAAGGGGACAGGCTGGTCGACTCTAACTCCAGTTAAGGCGTTTTAAACTCTGATCCCAGAGGTTTTGTCCGTGACTCAGTATTCCTTGCTTTGTCTTCCCCTCCCGCTCCCTGCCTTACTGTGCAGTGTGGGGGCTGCCTGTGAGCCCCGTAATTCTCTAGGGTTCTCTGGTCGCAGTAGTCCTAATAGCTTCCTCTCAACAAATCTGTAGGCACCAGCGAATACAGCCCACCCCGCCCCAAGTCCCCAAGTGACTCTGAGTGGGAATGAATGTTAGGTGGCGAATAGGACCCACACTGGGCCACCTTTGCCTTAAACTGGCTGCTTCCCCCAGCTCCCAAGTTCTCTGGCCTGAAAGCACAAAAGAACGTTTTTGGGAGGGATTCCCGATACCCAATGGACTACAGCCTGCCCCGAACACTTTCCTTCCCCAGTTGAGGTTGGAAGGGCTTCGGGCTTTCATTTCAGCTGCCAGGCAACGGATGCCCGCAGCCCGGCCCCTGCCTGCAGGCCAGATTTCGCCCTTGCAGCCTCACCTCGGGCCCGCGCACACCCCTACAATCGCAGACACACGCACAGGGAGCCATGCCCGGCGTCCCCCCTGAAGAAGCCGCCCCTCCCTGGGGCTGGGCTGCTGCCGGGTGTGCCTAGCGCGGGGAACCTTCCCCGCCCAGCTTCCCTTCCCTCCGCTCGCTGCCATTTGAATTCCCCAGCCGATTGCAGGGCGGAGGCCGAGCCTTAGCGAAAGGCCGGGCGAGGGAGGGAGGGCCCGGGCGCCCCTCCCGGGGCGCGCGGCGCCGGCCGGCGGTGCAGT